GTGCTCTCAATTATCTAAAATACAGATTAGCATTCATGAACACTCTTAATGCCCTTAAACAGATATTAACATTCATGAGCACTCTAAATGACTTCCAACAGAGATTAATGTTATTGTGAACTCCAAATGAACTCTTAAAGATATTAACATTCATAAGAGCTATTAATGACATCTAATAGGAATCAACATTCATGAGAGCTCTCAATGACCTTCAACAGATATTAACATTAATGTGAGCTGTCAATGACCTTCAACAGATATTAACATTAATGTGAGCTCTCAGTGACCTCCAACAGATATTAACATTAATGTGAGCTCTCATTGACTTCCAACAGAAATTGTCGTTCATGAGAGCTATCTATGAGCTCCAACAGATATTAAACATTCATGGGAGCTCTCAATGACCTCCAATTGAGATTAACATTCTTGTGAACTCTCAATGACATACAACAGATTTTAAACATTCATGAGAGCTCTCAATGACCTTCAACAGATATTAACATTAATGTGAGCTCTCATTGATTTCCAACAGAAATTGTCATTCATGAGAGTTATCTATGAGCTCCAACAGATATTAAATGTTTATGAGAGCTCTCAATGACCTCCAAAGGAAAATGGTCATGATAATCCTAAATGGGGAACATAAAAATAACATTTACAAGACTTAATAGGAGCCTCTTACTTTCAGCAGAGCTGCAAATTATTTGATAACTCTGTGGTTTTTAAACTTAACCGTACTTATCTTTAGGGGCACTTCGTTATTTCAAACAAGTACGGTTAGCCTAAGTTCAGTAACAAACTCACAACCTGTGGTATTATGGAAACATATAATCATCACAATAGATATGTGTTACTCTCATTCCCATACAATGTGTATTTCAGGCCCAGTTGATTCTTGTACTTTTAACATCACAGGTATGACGAGTGTCATAAGTTACAATAGTTCTGTGATCTACTACCTGTTAAGTTATTCACGGATGACAAAAACAATTTTAGTAGTCAGGAAATAATGTTTCCTTCCTCGAATATCTTACAGGATGAGCTAGAAGTCAATACCGTATCAAGTAAATTGGCGACCTGTAGAGTAGACGTTTGTGCTTGGCATCTGCTAACTTCTAACCTAAATAGAAATATGTGTGAAAGTGTCTCTACCGACAGGTGAATGTTACAAGTTATATACACACGATGTGGGCGGATCCGTTCGTAGAATCAACAACATACCAAGATAGAAATGATAAATCAATTTGTGATAAATCACATTTCCCCAATATCCGAGTAAACTAGAGAACATTAATGTAGTTCAATCGCACGTATAAGATATAACAAGATTACTTACAGTCACTTTCACCAGTTGTCCCTCAAAACAGATCTGTGGATCATACGTCGACCCCATAGCGTTCTATCAGTAGTTTAAAAAATCTCTTGTTTACGTGGTGATACCAGAAAAATTGATAAGCCCTGTATTCATGATGTGTTGTGTATTCTTAGGGGAACCCCGTCCGGCGTGTAACTGGACGTTACGTGACTCACTATCACCCTAGTAATTACTTCCCGGTTTGGTCATCCGGCTTCCGAAACGGACTTATTCGTGCGTTAATTTGGAGTTGTTCCCCCTGATACACAGGCGATAAATTTTAAGCCTTTAACAAATGGAGTATTGTGTGCTTCAGCTAACTTTCATTCCATTTTTTCTCATGTGTACTAATATACTCGTACTTGACATCTTTGTTTGAACTCAAATTCCAATACTTTATACGAAAATAGCATGCAGTAATATCAGTTTTATGCTTCCATACATTACACAAGAGGTCTATAGTGCCTGTATTGTTTTACCATTAGCGAAGTTAAAGCAACAAGGTTTCATGAGAAAAAAACTTAACTATCACCGCGTACTGCTTTATCTACCAGCATCAAAGGACCACAGTTTATCTCATTTCCAAAACTCAAGTGTACTTCATTGCTTTTATGGTTGAGATATGACAAAGTGGTCAAGAGAAATAGTTTTTAATATCAAAAAGAAACCAGTCTGTATCATTATGGTTCAGAACTATAATTTTGATAAAGAAACCCACACATATTTCCGTTCGTATACTTTCTGATCCACAACAGAATTACATATACCACAGAGTGAACATTTTCCAGTTTACCTGTCAGGTGTGACAATACATATACACCTACACTGACACTTACATGAAAAGGACACTGCTACTGTCCTGTCATGTGTGATAACATTACAACCTTGTAGGCATTCTTGATCTTGCCTGTCAGAGATCACACACAAGTAGTCATCCCCTTCACACTTGCCTTACACGGAGGCTGTAACATACATCTATGTGATTTCTCTATATCTTGGTGCTTCAGAGCATGCCTATAAACAACATTATGTAATTGGAAACAAGTTTAGACTAACAATTTTGCCATTTGACTTGCATTCTCTACGATGCAATATGACAATATAAGAGAGTTTCAAATGGAACCATAATAAGCCACAACCATGAAAATCCAATGTGAATATTGTTGGACTAATTATACTGAATCAGTGTGTCAAGTCCAGACCAACTGCTGGATTTTTAAGCTTCTTTCTAATTATCGATTTAGAACTTTCACAATGATTCTTCTAAAAAATTACAGGTCTTTTCATTCTGTACTGTTCTGCCAATTTCATTTTATTTTCGGATTTTTTCTCTTTTCCTTTTTATGTTCATAAAACTGAATATTGACTCTATGAAAATTGTTTTGACCATTTATCTTATATACTAAACAAAAAAAGAAAGGTAACACTACTTTATTCTGTGATTAATTAATTAACCCCTTCATAAATCCTTACCAATTATGTACGAATAAAGTAATTGATCAATTCTGATAAAACTGCAGTCATGGTTCATTATAAAACTTTGCGTTCAGTTGATTTTATTCGACTGTAAAGGACGTTGGGGATCAATTTCAAAGGTAACACCATTAGTAACGGGTATGGCCACCGTTCGCGAAGTAAACAGCATTGCAACGTCGTCGCATGGAACTCGTAAACCGGCGGATAATTCGAGGAGAGATGCCTTTCTATTCAGTGATCAAGGCTTAGGCCAGCTCCTGCAAGTTTGACTGCTGATTTTGACGTTCTCTCACGCGTCGCCCAAGAACGTCCCAGACATGCTCAATCGGTGACAAATCAGGTGATTTAGACGGCCAATCTAACACCTGTACGTTATTCTGCTGCAAGAAAGTTCTGCTGACGCGACTGGTGTGCGCTGGTGCGTTATCCTGTTGAAAAATGGCGCCAACGCCATGGCGTCTTAAGAATGGCAGAACCACTGGTCTTAAAATTTCGTCCCGATATCGAATGCCGGTTAAATTGCCATCTAACACAACAAGCCTGGTACGAGTCCCCCACAAATACCACCCCAAACCATTACACTTCCGCCGCCAAAGCGGTCCCGTTCTGCGACGCAGCAGTTCGCAAAACGCTCCCCTCGTCGCCTCCACATTCTGCGCCTTCCGTCACCGTGTTGCAGACAAAACCTGGACTCATCTGAAAACAGAACATTGTTCCATTGTTGTAAGGCCCAACGACGGTGAACAAGGGTCCAGTTACGCCGATTATTACGGTGACGTCGCAACAAATTGGGTCCAGTGTAGGGACACCGCGCTTTCAATTGGTAGGCCCTCAACCTGCTGCGGACTGTTTGGGGAGACACACGACGCCCAAACAATGTCTTGTAGTCTCTACTGCGGTTACGAATCGATTGCGCAAGTGTATCAATCGTATACGACGGTCATCCTTGGCGGTCGTTTTACGGGGTCGGCCGCTTCGGGAACGATCGGATGTTGACCCAGTTTGGTTTAAACGACTTACCAACTGGCAAATTGTCTTAACACTGTGATCAAAATGCCGTGCAACTCGACGGCGAGACTCCCTAGCCTGGATCATGCCTACAGCCCTTTCTCTCTGTACTTGTGACAGCCGGGGCATAATGATGAAGTTGATAGATAGCAAGATTCGGTGATTTCTAAGTCCTAAGGATCTAAGGAACAGTTGTCAGTTTGAATGTTTATGAAATTCAAGCGATGATACAAGTTAGTCGCAGAAAACCCCGTGCAGCTCTTTCGCTAATACAGACTTTCACGCTTGAATGATTTTGGTAACCCCCTTGGATTTTGTAATGTAAAACATTACCATTTTCTAATATTGCACACACGTCATTTTGTTTTCACTCATTTACAGGTATTCGCTAAGGAAACATGTTAACCTTTCTTTTTTTGTTGAGTATATTTGAAGTCGTAACTTTTATTGAATATCAGCAATGCACTTAATGGTGAATACTGTAGCTGGTTTGAAAGCATTTATAGCTGTTATTGTGAAGATTTATGTGAACTTGCATACATTTCAGCTGAGGGACTTTGAAGAATTTACTACATGTCCCCTGTCATACCCCCCACCTCTGGCCTCAGGAGAGACAAGATTCCTGGTTAATATAAAACTGGGTTCATTCATCAAGGTATGTTTCAGATCAAATCGGGATAGAATCAAGGCATCTCAATAAAGAAGAAGGAATTTCAAGAGTTACCTCTTTTTCCCCTATTTGGCAATGCCCCTCCCATCCCAGGGGGCATAGACTAGCCTTTCATTCAACATTGATTTCTCAACATTCAATTTGGTCTTTAACTAACACACAGCTCATTGAAGTTTAAGATACACAAGGTATTTCTCCTACATTTCATTAAATCACAAGTTACACCATACTTCCCAATGTCTCACCAGATACACAAATCTTCTGCCATATGTCAATGAGGTTAATGTTTCACCACTTCTATGTCTAAATGTAATTTACCACAAAGTTTACATTACATCACTTCTACTTCCTGATGAAGTTTAAATTACACCATACTTCTCACAATTCTAAATGAATTTTAACACTGCTCTAGTGTTTCCTGGTCCCTTCTCTGTAGTGATAGCTCACAGTGTGTATTAGCTTCCATAAGCAGATAGATTCCAACCAAACACATTATTGTCTGTATGATAATTTAATCTCCAGCAATATACAAAATATACAACAATATAACATGTGTGCACCAATCATTTATGCTATCACAATACCACTCAGAACAGTGGGTATGGACACAGGAAGCAAGCCTACACTCTAAGGTTTCTATCTCTCCACATTTAATACATAACAAGGTGTGTCATTTCAAGAGTATAAACAACTGTTATATTGTTACATATGTGTCTTATAATATTTCTGCTGAGTCAAGTTTAATCATAAAAATATTGGTTTAATCATTTTTTTTTCTGGTTTTGGTAAAAACACAGGAGAATAACAGCCCCATTTCAATCTAGATAGGTATGGTAAGATCTGTATGATATCAATATCTCATATTGCAGATTCCTATAGGTGATGATACACAACATCAGATCTTTATTTGAAACCACTACACTTAACACTTGACAAAAATCAGTGCAAAGACTTAAGAGTGAATGGTGCTGAAATTAAAGTCCATGTACTGATAAAACATATTGTATTCCAACCTATTAGGCAAATTGTGTGCTCAACTGCACTGTTTACTTGGCAGATTCTATATGAAATATGCTGAAATAGTAAATTTTGGTAACAGATATGAAATTTTGTTAGAAGATTACACAATCATCCAAGATTATTGTATTGGTCGATCAATGATATTTAAACATTTTCAAGGGTTTTACTGGTAGTTAAGTATACCTATTTTCCCAGAAAAATGATTGTGATGAATTTACAAGGACAGGTGCCCCTATTATATAGAATATGGCATATTCCAATTCAACAATTGATGTGTATTTAAGAAATAAATGTTATATTAATGGGGGATACAGAGCAAATGAAAATTTAAAAAAAAAACAAAAAAATAAGAAGACTTGTGCTTACCAAAGAATGTTTCTGATCAGTACATATTTACAAACTCCCAGTGATACATATACAGTGGTATATTCTCATAAAGAAGAAGATATTTTCACCATCATCACTAGATAAATTAATCTCATGATCTTTCTTCTTTCACTCCATTCCACTTAGTCCTCACAAAGAATAAGAGAAAAAGTGTTACTGAATGACTTCAATATCTCCTTATTAAACTTCCTCACAAATTTACATACAGTATGTCTCTCTATGTCCTGGCGGTCCACCTGTATACGAGGGTGTGGAGGAAGGTTACTGAGTGGCTTCAACATCTCCTTGCTATTCAACTTCTTTGCAAATTTACAAATGTCACACTCATTCATCATCGTCCACTGATTATTAGGATGTAAAGGATAGTTACTGAATAGTTTAATGGTCTCTTTACCAACAAATATTCTTTAAAATTAATCTATTATGTCATCACATATTTGTGAAATCAAAATTTCTTCTTCCTCAATGGAAATTTCCATTGAAATCAGTAAGATGTATCATATTTCAAAAGATCTCAAGCAAAAACAGGTTCTGGGTTTATTTCCTGTCATAGAAACATTTCCCTCTCACAATAACCACATGTTCTTCCCATAGTCCAATGTTAGGTAAATGTAGAGTAGTACACACTTCTCTGTGTTCGTATTGGAATTCTGTTACATAATGGATTGTTTTGAGATCTAGTATCAAACTAGGAAAGTCAAAACTATTTTTGCAAAGTATAGTGTAAGAACCATTCTCATTAATGGTGAACTTCAATATATTGGTTCAAACCATCACTGATGCACATCATCTATATTTCTTTAATATTAAATGTGATTAGACGTCTTCTAAACAAGTCATACCAATTTCTGGTTTTACTAAAAGCATAATTCATCCAAGCAAATTAGCTCCAAGTATTCTATGGTCCCGTCAGAATGAAAATTTCAAAACCATCAACAAATTGTAGTCTTCTGTGGACATTGTCATATTGCAACTCATCTAGAACATATACCTGGTACAGTTGAAAAATTCTTCCTGAAAATGAACCAGGAAAATACAATGTAATGGTGAAATCATTGGCCTAGTTAACCTTCAAATACACACATATATATATGGATTCATTTAAATGTAAATGCTATCTTCTACATATTTTGCAGAAAATCATAAATGAAAATTTTTAGTAAGTAACCATAAGACCAAAATGAGATTTTTTTAATGTGTGTGCACATTTTTAAGAAAATAATTTTAGATGTTACAGAGAGGAATACACAGTACAAAATCAGTTTAAAGGATTATGTATTCTGTGGCGTCCTAGCTTTCATGTGTACCATTCAGTTACTATTATAAGTTCTTGTCAAGTATTGCAAGAACCTTACCCATAAAACAATTCACATAACTACTCACAGAGTAAATGATATATATTTCATGGTGCACAATCGTTACTGTTACTTTCATTACTGTGTTGTAAAGTATCACCTTACCTATGACAGACCCTGTCAACGCTTCCCATTACTGTGTTGTAAAGTATCAACTTAACTATGACAGACCCTGTCAAGGCTTCCCATTGCTGTGTTGTAAAGTATCAACTTACCTATGACAGACCCTGTCAAGGCTTCCCATTACTGTGTTGTAAAGTATCAAATCACCTATGACAAACCCTGTCAAGACTTCCCATTACTGTGTTGTAAAGTATCATCACCTTACCTATGACAAACCCTGTCAAGACTTTCCATTACTGTGTTGTGAAGCATCATCACCTTACCTATGACAAACCCTGTCAAGACTTCCCATTACTGTGTTGTGAAGCATCACCTTACCTATGACAAACCCTGTCAAGGCTTCCCATTACTGTGTTGTGAAGCATCATCACCTTACCTATGACAGACCCTGTCAAGGCTTCCCATTACTGTGTTGTGAAGCATCACCTTACCTATGACAAACCCTGTCAAGACTTCCCATTACTGTGTTGTGAAGCATCAGCTTACCGATGACAGACCCTGTCAAGGCTTCCCATTACTGCATTTAGAAACATTCTTCCTAACTATGACTGCCTCTGTCATAGTTTCCCATTGCTTTGTTGTGATACATTAACTTACCTTTGTCTGTCCCTTTCAAGGCTTTCCATTATGGTGTTGTTAAACATTAACTTACCTATTACTTCCTCTGTCAAGCCTTCCCATTACTTGGTATGACTGCCACAACAATAATGGCGACGAACAGCAGCACAATTACAACCCAGTAACCTAAAACAGTAGGAATTAGTTCAATATACTTACACAATATACCATAATACAAACTTTGAATTAGGAAGCAATCACAAGCAGCTTGGGATACATAGTTTCTGCTTATTTATTGGTATGTCAACTGGATCCAAATGGGATGCTAGCGACACAAAAACATGAGTAATACTCAATGTGCCCACACTCCTCCAATTAAAGTCATAAAAGCTGTTGCTTGGGCAGGATGTGAATGATCTTTTACTAAACCCTTACAAAATGATAAGATTGAATTTCAGGCCTATAAAAGTAGTTAGATTGGAAAAATGACGAGGGTAAAAATGAGTTGCAACAGAAAAACTTCAAAAGCCAGTGATCACATCATTTAACTTTCATTTTACTGTATGGATTATCCTGTCCAAATTCTGTCAAAGAACAGGAAGTATTCGTGATTCCTGTAAAATGTACACCATTTACTTTGGTGCAGTATTTGAAGTACAAGAAATTACAGATATTGATATTTCCTGTTAATGAACAAAAGTTTTAACAGCACTTGATTTTCAATACAACATCTAATGTTTCTTTTCAAAAGAGGTCTGAAGACAAGTACTATGTACTTACAACATGCGTTGGATTTCCTATCTACTATACGAATGTGTTTAGTCTCTTTCTTCAGGCGTTCTCCTGTTCGGTCTGTATGATCAGTAATATCGTCTATCAAGGCTGAAAAACACCAAGAATCATACTTTTGAAAAAAAAAGAAACATGTGAATTTTGTAATTCAATGAAAATCACATATGAAAATCATTTGGTGAAAATGTAACCTCATTAGCATTTTTGTATTATCTTTTGAATTGTAGTATGTGTTTTTAGCAAGTATGAACATACGGATTTATAATTTAAATGTGGAAAAAAAGTGTTTCTTTATATCTTTATATAACAACACACATCTGACTCCGTCCATTTTATAACATCGAGAAGTATTATTGCCTTCACAACGGATTATAAGTTTGTTTTTTTTATATGAGAAACTTTAAAACATAAACACATGAAGAAACTTTAATGGCTAATAACATGTACACCAAACAAGGTAGTCTCGAATTTACAATGGATAGCAATATCTTTCAGTGAACCAAGTACATAACTGTCATCAGGTGTAAAACTGCTGACATCTGATAAATAGCTGGCATCAGGTACATACAAATATGTAGCTGGCATCAGAATACTGTCACAACAATATTACTGTAAGGTCCAAGTCTGGACTTATCAATGTCCACTTTTCTATTCGCAATCAACACCAACCTACCATTTTTTCTTTTTCCACAACAAAAATCACTCACTTTCCTTACAATTTTCATGCATAGAAAATGAGTGGACAATTTATATACCTCTTCGCTGTTGGAAAAAGTACAAAATGAGCAATATATATATAAAAAATTGATTCCAAATTTTAAAAAAAACTGACCATTCTGACTGTCCACTTCATCTCCGATGTCAATAGCCATCTGCTTCTGTCTGGACAGGACACTGGAGAGAGCATCCAATCCTCGATCTTGTTCTGAAATAAGACAAGCCTGACTTTACATTCTACAATTAAGTGTAGTCCTTACATCCTTATTGTCTTTAATAAACTGTAAACACCAGTCAAAGGGAGATAATTCATACATGATAACTTCAACATGGAGTAATACATGAATGTGTACATGGATGTTAATCCTATGCTTCAGAAAGTATTTACAGAGCTTTTTTAATTAATGCAAGTCTACAGAGTCCATCAGAAGTTTCCTAATCGATATACAACAGTGAGCAATAATATGCTGGCAGACCTTGTATGACCTGTTGTTGTTGATTTCGGAGATCATTGTTAGACATGTCACGATACTCCTCAGGATCGTCCCTCATCCCCCAGGGATCACTGCTTCCAAACGTGTCTGCACCTGATCCCATCAGTGAGTACCTGAAACAGTTATAATTCATACAAACACATTAAGTTTCTCTAAAGTTAAATGTGATAAAATCAGAAAATTTGTTAAATATTATTATTCTTTGTTTCTTAAAAGACAGTTTAAAAGTTTTGTTATCTTTTAAAGCAACTTAAAACATTTCACATCATACCTAGAATCTCCTCCTTCATTTCGAAATGCTTGTTCAATCTGTTTCTCTTTCGTTGTTAAATTATCAGTCATCATTTGTCGACGTTCCACTTCTCTCTGAGTTCTGAGTTGGTCAAGTTCAAATAAATTGTAGCTAATTTTGACCATCAGAGGGTTGAGTTAATACTGTTGTAATCTAACGAGATTTCACTTTTTTGCCATCACTGCTTAAAAGGATGGATAAAAACAGATCAATTATTACATAATTTCAGATTATTATATAAAGCAGTTTTTTGGTTTTAAAAGGTTTTTTTCTGGGGTTTAACATCCTCCCAATAGTCAAGGTCATTATCATATTGTGTCTATGGATGATGGGGTCACTCAGGGACACGTTTATAGTGTCATGACTGTACACTCTGATAGGTGATAAACTGGACATGTCAGCATGACACTTGACTGGGCCATATTACATTCAGCAGAGTGCTGTGACAGTAACTAAATCTGATAACAGTAGCATGTCACTTCCAAGTGATAATACAAAAGAACATACCCATATATATCCATATTAATGCCCACCCATACATAGTCATTTGGTAGAAATATAAAACAAATGCTAATTCATTACCCTGTAATAAATCAATCTCATGACCTCAAGACTGAATACGTACATCTGCTGACTAGACTTATTGTAGGATATAGATGGTAATGACAAAAAGAGAAGTAACACGCAACATCCTTATCCTGTATAGTTCTGTTCATTCCAGGGTGTCTTGTAATCATGGTTCCAGCCTGATTTCGCTTTTTGGGATGTTTTTGACTTAATACCTATTTTCCCCAAAAGGTTGCTATTTGTTGTCCCTACCCTTGTAGCTCTTACATGCCCTTATATCAATCACTGGACTGATACTAGGAACAAGTCAACACGACTAGTAAGGATACATGTGGTAGGAGGATGAGGCACGGATCAGTTGCTGCTTCAGCTTGTTGAGGTCAGTGGTGAACTGTTTCATGGACACCCGTATCTGGGCAGTTAGCTGGAAACATATAAAACATATTTCAGACATTTTTTCCTTATGAACAAAGTACTGTTTTCCAATTTTTACATTATTGTGACGGTCAGTAACTTTATAACAAAGCACTGTACATGCATAGGTATATTTGAGACTTAGGAGTCACACAATGACAATATTCTCAGAGATGGTAACTGTTAAGATTTAGCTCTCTTGTTGTAATGTAAATAACGAAAATTCTATAGTGCAAAAGTTTGCGACCCTATAGTATTTAACATTTCACCTTAAAGTGGAGTTTGATATAAAGCTCAATACAACAATAATCTTTAACCATTGAATTATATCTAACAGTTTACAACCTTCACCAAAAAACAATTAAGATACCACAATTACACTCAGTGATCCAAGTTTCCTTAAGATATTTTTAACAATTTAACATTTAGAAAACATTACTGGAACAACCCAAAAACGAAACTAATACTATATTGTGCTTCTGCATATGAAATTACTTTACAATTATCTTTTCAAAAAACATATCGGTTTGATTAAGGGGGATAATCCTGAAAATTATCTCATGTTTTTTGATGTTATAAATCATTTTTTTGATTATATTGGTATATTTTTCATAGTTCTATAATGAGACAGAGAGTTTGGAGCAAAATCTTGGTACCATTCTGTTGTTAGTAAAGGGACCCCACAATAAGCATGTATGTTTATATTGTTCCCTGAAAATTTGCTCATAAATGAAATCATGCAAAGTGTGTAATGTAATAAATGCCTGAATCCATGACGTTTCAATGTTTATGACATGGTAGTTTTGTGGATGGGTTGAGTAGAGTTGCATAATTATACATCAAATCTTATTTTCATCATTATGGCTTGGAATACAAAGATAAAAATGAACAATACTTTCGCATGAATACATATATGTGTTGTGTGTTTAACATTTGACTACAGTAAAACCATAAGTAAAGCGATTTCCTATCCAGAAGCCAATTGACTTGTCTTTATGACTGCAGTTATGTTCTGTTTATTAGATCGGATATACCGAGAACAAGGTTATAAATCTGTAATGCAGGTTGTTGTTATATACTTGAACTGAGAGCATATTTCTAGTATCTAAACAGCATCTCTGTGCGTTTTGGAATGGATTTCATAGGATTTCTATGTAACTGAATAGACACAACTTTTATGTGTTGCTATAGCCGTTGTCATACACGCGTGTATTAAGAACACAAAAGAGTTCCAATCCTTTTGGGTAGTGTTAACATCAATGTCGACCTTGTTGCCTATATGGAAATGGAAATAAATGTGTTATCAATACACAGAACACATCCCACAATCTGAATATCTGCATCCACCTTAATCATGATGAATTTAAAAAATACGTCATTTTCATGCATATATTGCTGTAACCTCATTTCATGGTTTTACCAAATCGTTCTTTTTTAATTGAATGATGAAAAGTAATCATATGGACAGTACTATTTGAATGGTTTAAACAATGCTCTTTCCAATTTGGTATCACATTTATGCCAATTAAAGGTTCCGTTTAGTGAAAAATCTAAGTCAATTTTAACGTTACTCAATATCCCTGTCATATGTTATAATGCAAAATAAAATCAAAACGTCACTATGTTGTCAGGAGATGATGCATATCATCTATATCAGTGTTTCTTAGACTTGTACTGGGTATGGAATGATGAAATTAAAACTTTGAAGCAAAAGTGGAGCTCTTTTAAAGGTAAAATAATGAAAAGCAACATGAATCTCCGTTAACCTCCAACGAACCTCTAAAAATCAATAAAAACAAAGCTATCAGTTACAAAGTTAATGGGCTTTATACACTGTACCTTGGTGTATGTAGAACTGGTTCTGTTATGTTTATTTCTGTCATTGATTTTCACCATCAGATTTTGTCCCAGCCTGGCACAGCTGTCATACTCCGTCAACCTAGAAACAAGGATGACAATCAAAATCTTTATCAGTTGATGATCTTTGTAAATGGACCTAAAGCTCTCCCTGTTCAGTCATCACATAACTGTAGAGACTTCAACTTGATCTAAACTACATAACCATTGCTCTGTCATTGTTATTGATTAATTCAACTACCAAAGATATGATCAGGGAGATATAGTGGAGAGAATACACATTTACTAAATATGATATTATGAAATTCACTAAAGAAAATGATATTCCCACAATTATTTTGATGGTCAATTTTGAAAAAGCATTCGACTTGTTTCTTCTTGTAAAATGGTTTGACACAAAACACAATAATTTTACATCAACAACATCAGGAGGGGGGGGATTTATCTCCATTCTTTTAACTAAAAACCTCTTGTTGTCAAGGCGACCCAGAAGCAATTTTAGCAATTTGTTTAAGGAAAAAGAGTATTATACAGGGAATTTGGACAGAAAGTTTTGAGATTTTGACATCCTAGTGTACATACAACACTTTTCTGGCATCAGAATCTTAATTTGGGGAAAGCTAAATTTACACTACTTGTAATTGAATTTGATGTGAGCTTTGTCATCATTCCTAAACTAAATTTTGATAAGCAAATTGTAGAATTAACCACAGGGATCTTGGTGCCCACCATTGTTTGATCTTTATATTCTCTTTGAAAAGGTTGGATTTCCCTCCTTCTTTTCTCTTCTCTGTTTTTGCTCTTAATAAGAGAAATTTGAACATTCCTTTGCAAAAATAGAGATGATAATTTTTAAATGCAAAATCCAAAATGGCCACCTGTAAGCCATTTTGTTTCTTCTGATGAGTCCGACAAGCAAACAAGCACAAGGAGAGATGAAAGGAAACATACATATGAAATTTGAGAGATATCCATTCAGTACTTCTTAAGAAATAACAATAACAATCTTTACTAGGCAAAATCCAAGATGGCTGCCTGTCGGCAATTTTGTTTTTCTGATCAGACCAAAAATCAAACTGGCACAGCTAGTGACCATGGGGAACCTACATATGAAATTTATGAAAGATCTATCCAGTACTTCTCAAAAAATAGTAATAGCAAACTTTGACAGTCATAATCCAAGATGGTTGCCTTTTAGCCATTGAGTTTTCCTGATCAGTCCTAAAATCACACTGGCACAACTAGGGACTAAAAGTAAACTATGTATGAAATTTTCATTAAGATCTATGCAGTAGTTCTCAAGAAATAGCAATAACAAAATTTCAAAAGTTAAAATACATTAAGGCTGCCTGTCAGCCATTTCATTTTTTTTTATCAGACCCAAAATTATTTTGGCACAACTAGGGACCAAGGGGAAACTACCTATGAGATTTAAAAAAAGATCCATTACGTACTAACCAAAAATAGCAATAACGAATTTTTAAAGTCAAATTCTAAGATGGGCATCTGTCGGCCATTTTGTTTTTCTGATCAGTCCCAAAATTACATTGGCACAACTAGGGACCATGTGGAACTTACATATGAAATTTATCAAAATAGTAGGAAGAGCACAACAGCTGAGGCCAGGTGTAGTAATACTGTGACTGCCGACATGTTTCGGCCTGCTAGGCAGGCCGTCATCAGGGCACACTTTATTGGTCTGCCTGTTACATGGTGATGCAAGATGTATAGTGAATAACAATAGTAGTCATGTGACTTTACAATGGACAATACTGTGACGTCATAGTGTAGCCATGGAAGTAGTAAACAAACAACACAGTAGAAGAATGATAGTTGGCGTAAAAATGATAGCTAGAGTATAAGTAGAAATAATATGAAGAACTTATAAGAAGTATAAATATTAAAGAAGAGTCAGTATAATATATAAATAGAGATAGTCTATGATGAATAATAAATTAGTACATAAGGTAGGGTTAGAGCATTGGTATATAAATGTCAAGCATAAAAACTTCAGATAAAAACAATGAATGGTAATAATGTTCAACAGTGAAAAGTAGAGTTCATTAGGTCAGGAACAGCAGCCAATATCATAAAATTGTAAATATTCAGTCAAGATATAACCCTAAGAAGGAAAGGTCCTTGCATCGGATAGTTTCGTGGGATATCCTGAGAGTGAGTATGGTTGGTAACATATATCCTGGTAATTATTTTGAAGCTGGAGTGGTAGGTATTGTCCAAGTATCGCAGGTATGGCTGGTACATGTAGGTCCTAACTGGAATTTCTTGGGTCCGTGTATAAAGAGTTCAGTACAACAGGAGAAGAGTGGTAGGTAGTATTCCATATTCCATATTCCATTACAATTAGCAAGATGGAGAGATTTCTAAAAAGTCAGTGGCATTCAGATAATAGCATCGAAAAGAAATAGGCACATCTTAGTAAGATCAAAATATATATGAAATTTATGAAAGATCTATCCAGTACTTCTCAAGAAATAGTGATAATAAACTTTCAAAATCAAAATTCAAGATGGCCGTCTTTCAGCCATTTTGTGATCAGTCCTAAAATTAAATTTGAGAGAGATACATCCCTTATTTTTCAAGAAATAGCGATAACCGACTTCATTGACAAAAATCCAAGATGGCTGTCAACCATTTTGTTTTTTTCATCAGTTCCAAAATCAAACAGGCACAACAAGGGACCAAGGGGAACCTACATATGCAATTTGAGGAAGATCTATCCATTACTTTTTAAGAAATAGCAAGAACAAAAATTGTGATGGTGGGCTAAACAGTTTAATCTCTACATGGAAGAAAAGGAAAGGAAATTCAAATCATGAAATCACTGATGATATCCCTACTTAACCACTTATTTATATCTCTTCCAAATCCATGTGACAAGGTGATAAAGGAAATTAATGCCTTCTTATTTGAATTTTATGGAATAATAAAGCTGACAAAGTGATTATTGTAAGGGTGGCTTGAAAATGTTAAATTTAAATGCTTTCATAAACTCTCTTAAACAAGGATGGGTGAGAAGATTGTAAAGCACTAAAAGGATACAGAAACATATTTTAAAGGAGAATGTTGATATAGATCTTTTATCATGTATTGGTAGTGTAAACATGTATCCATGTATGAATAAAATGTAGTAGCTTATGTACAAATAATATATGGAAGGATATTTTCATTGCCTAGTACAAATTAAATAACTCAAATAAAAGAATTACAATGAAGATAATTCTTGTTGAAATGCATTTGGAATAATAAAGATATAGGTAAACCTATTTTCTACAAATCATTGTATAGAGCAGGAATACATACAATTGCTGATCTCCTAAATGATTCAGACAGTATTCTTTCTTTACATTTGAAGAACTTTCACAAAAATATCACTTGTATACAATTTTCTTCAGGTCCAAGAAGTAATATCAAGATATACAGACTTTCCTCAACAGTTTCAATGATCCAGAATTCTCTTACAACATTTTAAACAAAACATATACTGTAGCCACTGGTCAATTAAAATGGCATGAACAGATTTTATTGGCTGAAGGGGAATGATATGAAATACACAAATTTCCAAAAATAGTACAAAAAGTACTAAACTTTAAGATTCAATATTGCATATCTCATCCTATCAATACCAAAAACACTGAGTGATTCAAGATTAGAATAGTTGTTAATCCTATGTGCACTTTCTGTAACTTTGAAAGTGAAACAATAATTCATTTGACTTGGGGATGCCAGGAAGTGCAAAATTTATTACAAAGATATGAAAATCATTTAAGTGCATTTTATAGTACTTTTTCAATAAAAAAATACATTCCTTCCTTTTTGGGTTCACAAATAATAGTATTAATCCTAAGGTTGACAATATAGTCATTCTCATCATTGAACAGTACATTTATAGAACCAGATGTCTGAACAAATCTTTAAACATAAATTCATTGGGCGGTAGCATAAAAAGTTATTACAGCATACAGAAGTGTCTAACAAATGTACAAAATGATCTTGGAAAAGCAACATTTACTAATACATGGGGTAAGTGGAGAAATTGCATACAACTTGATATTTAATAATAAAGACTAAAGCCCGACAGTTTGCCAAAATATGTATCTAATAACAACTTTCTTATGTTACTTTCTGCATCTCTCTTTGAAGATTTTTTTCCATACTTATGTTGTTTCTTACCTCTCACTTCTCTATATAGAAAAAAAATATAATATTAAACTTTGGTAGCAAACTTACCAATATAGAAATGAAATCAACTTCATACCTTTTTTTCACCCTCTTTCTTTCTTTCCTTTATAAAAAGAATTAATCTTGCTTCAATAAGGATGCCAATAATAACTGTGTGTGTATGTGTGTGAAAGAGGGTGTATCTGTATGTGTGAATCAGATTGAGAATGCAGTATATCTTATTGTCTAAGCTCTTATTAAATCATATGTTCAAAATTATTTCAAAATATGAGACCCAGAAGGCCTGTATTGCTTGCCTGGATATTTAAGTTAATAACACAAAACTTTAAATTTCTTTAGAAGGAAAACATTTCCCATGATGAGCCTCACACCCCACAGATACAGCTTAAAATTCCCGAACACTGATTACCCTTCACCCAAGCATGCTTCAGACCAATTCTAGACAATATCCTATGATTCCTGAAAAAAAAACAAGATAGATTGTAAAGAAACTGACAGATTTTCTCTATTGGGCCCTGCATCTCAGGCCCCAGGGAGCTGATGCCTACCATTTATACAAACTGATTTTCCTTCACCTACGCATGCTTTAAAATGATTCAGGACAATATTCTGTCCTTCCTTAAGAACAAGATAGATTTTACACCCAAGCAAGCTTCAGACCAAATTTGGACAATATCCTGCTATTTCTAAAGAACAAGATAGATTTTAAGGAAAATTGATAGATTTTCCTTCTTGGGCCTGCATCGCTGGGCCCAGGGAGTAGAGACCCAGGGAGCAGAGACCCAACATTTATACAAAACTGAATTTCCTTCACATAAGAATGCTTCTGGTCAAATTTGGACAAATCAAATATTACCTTGAAAAATGATTACTTGCTTAAATAGAAATCTAAGCTTTTATTTCAATGCAAAGTTATTAATTAACCATATTTCTTTTCTAACAATACGACAATAGCCATTCTAAAACCTGGTAAATCTTTATACTTTAGAATAGAAGGAGGAGAGCCAATGCCTTGCTACTTCTTGGTGTTGTATCAAAACTGAAATTGTTAATGTTTTTCATTAAGACAAGATGTGCTGATGCTTTAGGACAGGTAGCCAAGTTCTTTGTAGTCTCTTCTGATACTTTGGTGGGTAGAGCTGGAGAAGACTATGCCAGCATTGCTAAGTTGTATATCCACCTTGAGCATTTCCAAGGCTTCATCAATGGTTTAAATATCAAAACAGGTCCAAAAGTCCTTGGTGGGACAATCTTAAACTTCACCTGATCTAATTGTTTCTTGGTCTATACTTCTGCTAAACTGTATCTGGTTCTGCATCTTGCCTGGTGGTATTAGTTGTGATTTCTGGCTCCACCATGTATCCAGGGTGTTGTTTAGTAAAGTGCTTACTGTAGTATTCCTTTTGGATGAAGGTAGTCTTGCAGATCTTGAGACCACACTGTTTCTTTGTCCTCAGATAAGCACATGGCTGCATATACAACAGTTTTTACCACTTGGGTGATTGCCCAAAGATTGGATTGTACTGTACCCTGTCCATTTTAATAAGCATATTTTGTACAGATTTAGGTCTTATATAGCATGTACTTCAGTTTCTGAACTGTTTGATGATACATGTCTCTATCTGTTGATCAGTTTGTTAATGAGAGGGTTAAATTTATAACAACAAACTGTTTCCTTTTCATTTCTTACTTATTCATACTATTACCTGCCCTACGAGTTGTTTAGGATAGCCTTTGCTTTCTTATCTCTGGATAAGTTTCAAGTCTTCATTCTTGTCTTTGTTCCAACTACAGAAGCTTGTGACATGTGACATGACAATGATTTTTGTGACATTTTATGTAGTAGCCAAAACTGATCCTATGTAGATTTAATTTTTAGCTACTGTATTAAGTTAATTACACAAACTTGATTGACAATTTTACATCATTTACGTAAATCAGAGCACTACATGACTCTCTATATTTCCAAACCTGCTATCATAAAATCTTTGCACACAAAGAATCTTTCTTCCCTTGAACTATCCCATTCTGGAATTTTCTTCCACGTGACCAAGCAACTACTACACAATCTTCCTTCAAGATTCAAGACTAGACTAGCTACTTAAAACATAATTGATATCGCTATGAGTATACAAGCCATGCCTCATCCTGCTGAAGTTGCCAAGAAATATGTAAAACTAAACCTAGACACATGTGTCAGCCTCGCCTGTCAATATACTCGTACTAATTAAGAGGCTGGTACCCGAGAACTACAGGCAGTAGTCTAATTACTTCACAATTAATATATACTCAAATGAAAAATGCACATCACTAAATATGAAAGATTCCTCTATGGAAAGTGCAGTGATAGTCATGTGCCTGGACCAATCGAGTTTGTTCGGGGTACTTCTCTTCTGTGCAATTTTCTAAATCTGAAACCGGGTGGTTCCCGATTCTGAGGAGTTTGAAATGAACATAACTCATACAACGGTTACTCTTTTTTGTGATATAATGAATAGAATATATTAATACGTAATTAGTGTGACAAATTAAATAAATTAATATCACTCCTTAAATTAATGAGCTGATAATTACTCTTAGTTCTTACCAAGTGTCACTTGCCATCTTGTGATGTGCGGATGTTGTTAACGAGGATTCTATTGCGCATGGTCAGAAAATCTAAAAACTTCCGGAAATTGAAACTTTCACCCTTGACCCCATATGACCCTATATCACAATGTGTAGTTATTTTTAGAAAACCACCGTGTGAAAAGTTTTCGGCTTCGTTTACTCACAAACAGAGAACAGAGGAGACAGTGTCAGCGAGTGTGTCGGTATGTAAGCGCTCTCGATCACAGATGTTTGGGAAGGCACCCTTTAAAAGTTATGAGGTGTTCTCTTCGGAAAGGTATAAAAATCGCAGTATGTTTGTCTGTTTTAATCTTTTCGGTTGTATTATTCTTTCATGATAACTTCGAAAAAAGTTTAGCAGCACAGGGACAAAGTTTTCGACAGAAACAACATGGCGTCGTGGGACCTGTTGATCAACTCTTGGACACTGAACTGTCCAGGAAACAACGAAATGCAATGTCAGTAGAAACTGTTAAGGATGACGAAAAAGAAAAAAATCCAAAAACGAAACCAAGTTTAAAATCGAAAGACAGAAGGACAGAAATTGATGACATATTTATTGCCATCAAAACGACCAAGAAGTATCATATTCGCCGACTAAAGCTGCTTCTGGATACGTGGATCCCACTAGCTAGGGAGGAGGTACGTAGTCCCCACCATTATTACAGATGTTGATGATTAACATGGGCAATACATGACAGTTAATTATCAAATTAATTAATCTTAAGTTAATTAGAATGTATGATATGTTGCACGTGCTCATCATCTACCGATTAAGTAAATTTACTGTAAATTTATCCAAGAATAATTCATTTACTTACGTTTGGCATAGACTAACTAAGCCAGAAAATTTAATTCTAAAATCATTGAAATTTACAGCTTTACATTTGTGTCATTGTTTCTTATACTGTAGATATAACTGAAAGGCAAAATAGGATGATATTATAGCCATTAAACAGAATTAAAGGGCACAGTTACGCAATCTTGTATCCCTTTCAGAAATGTTATTTTGTTGATGGGACAAACATCTTTTGATAGTTTTATTGAGTTGTCACTTTTATGACTATAAGTGACATTATGGTTCATTTAGAATTGACTGAAATAGGATTCTAGATCTAACACTGCTGTCAGCCTCAGTTGATTGCAGTATAACATTAATAACATATACACCCAGTCTTAATTACGTGACCATTTCAGAAAACTGCATGTTTCCCACAATTAAAAGAATAAGAGATTACATTTGCCTAGGTATATTCGTAAAGTCCTTGCAATGGTGATGCACTGACAGGCAACTCAATTGTCATACCATTGATAAACAGTGACAACAACCAAACAACTTTGATATAAAATAAATGATTCTTTAGATATTGGATAAAAAGGATAAATAATAAAAAAAAAAAAAAAAACAGCATGGAAAAGCTTGAACGATGATAAATTCAACACATTTTTCCAGACATTTGAATGTTTAAATTACTACCCTTGATCATATACTAATAAACAGAGGTAAAAATAATTGAACTAATTTAAAAATCTAATCTTTCTGTTTTATGCTTGATATGATTATTTGGCCTTATTTCTATGGCTAGAACTTTTATAGTTTGTTTTAAAATGCTGTTGACTTGTATTGAAATACAATAAAACTTGCATGAATGTGACTATAAATATTATTTTCATCATGCTAAGGCTTAAAGCCCATCCGTGGCCAACATACTCATATTTAAAGTTAGGGAAATATTTTCTATTCTATTACATGTATATTGCTAAACAGCAAAAGTGGGCTTATTACCAGACATGGGCTATTTGTTGAATAAAAATCATAACATATTAATATGATGTAAATTTATACACTTTCCTACTGAGAATAATATTCACTTGCAATTAATAAATAGATGAGACAATGAAATGTATTTTTGAAGTTAATCCATTGTGCCACTTTCAAACTATGGGGAATTTAGACACAAGGATTAATACCCTAGTCCAAACTAAATTGGTATTAGTCAGATACATGCTGACACAAATTTTGGCCATTGCAATATTGTGAATGTGAATAATTTTTTAGTTTTACAGTCCGTCATTTGACTTGATTCTCCCATTTTAAGAGCTGTTAATACACCACTACAAGTAGTAGTAAATGGCCCCTATAACTTCAGATTTAGGCACATGCATTCCAATACAATGAATGACCTGCTGGTATCTCAAAAGACATTCACATTCTTTCATTTTAAACCTTCCCCAGAACAATGGCTTTAAATAGCCCTGTGATTTATTTTACTTGGCACTGACATGAAGGGGTGGTTATATTCTTGCTTTTGTCTACTGTTAAAAAGGGTTTGATAGCTGATGCAGTGAAATTTGATCACGTACAACCAATAACACTAATAATTTTTTGAAAAGGTATCTTAACTTTTAAACAGTCCTATTCATGATAAGGTATTGAACTTTTAACAATAATTGTATGTTTCTAACTTTAGCGTAGAGGCTTTTAACTAGCTTCACACTGCATTTCCCAAATTCATGTTGTGAAAATGGTGACAGGCTATCAGAACCGTCCTTAGCTGTTGAAAAGTAACACTACCATCATATCAGTAGCAATCATAGCTAAATTCTATAAAGTCGAAGAATAAATGACTTCAGGAAAAAATTATAATTGCACTTCAAGCTTGAAAATAGAATTCAATTCAATACTAAGGAAAGGAACTGTACAACAAATATGAAGGTATATGAATATTGATGACATGTACTCAGTGTGATTTACGTATGAAAATCAGACTATAATATCAAACACATAAAAATACAAACTTTTTAATACATTCAAATAAGGTTATGAAATTTTGTGCACAAAATATTGTCATTTCATATTGTATCTAAGGCTTTGTAAGAATACAAGGTAAGATATTAAATGATTTTTTTTTATTTTCACTCGGCTACATCAGTCATAGCTGTCCTACACAGTATACTAGGTAAATATATAGATAAATGGATGTGACCACAGGGTCATGTTATTTGGGTCAGCAGTAATTAACAGCCCTAGGTCAGTTTACCTGTGATCCTAACAGGTAAGGTGTCTGTGTTTCTGATTAATATTTCTTGCTCCTCACAAGCTGTCTTAGGAAGTTATTCTAGCTACAGATATACATTCATTTGATTCAGACACCTTTTGCATTTGTCAATATTTGCAAAAATGACAAAAGCCACTTTTCAGAGGGTTATGAGAGAATATTGATTGATTGATAATGCTTCTTAAAACAAAACCTATAGCTATGAATGAATTAAAAACTATGCAAATATGCAAAGTATTCTACGGAATTGAATATAATTCTGAAGATGTAAAAGAAATTTGAAAATAATATTATGCAGGTTATTGTTAATGATTCTATGGCTGAAAGGAAGAATTAGAGTTACATACTGGACAGTTTGTACAACAATGAGAATCTATTGTTGATAAATTAATCAGTGTTTTGTTTCTATTTGGGTATTTAACATGATTATAAAACACACATAACACACGAACAACTGGCAATTCAATTTTTATAAATTGTAAGAAAAAAACATGTGTCCATAAAACTCTGGTTAAAATGTTAAAGATCTTTTTAATGTGACAATCTGTTAACATCTTTTGCACTGCCAATAAAAAGATCCATTTTAACTTGTGGCCAACATTTACAAAACACAGTTTACATTCACAAGACAAACAGAATTCCACATTTACAGAAGTAAACATCCAACAAATCAGACCTAAAGAACTTGCTATTCACAAAACACATGACATCTAATAAACATCTTGGCTCAAATTTTTAAAAAAGGCATGATATTCCTAAAACAAAACTCTGCATTCATAAAAACAGAATTTCACATTGATATTAGTATTGATTTTATGTCCCATGTTTTTATTTCATCTGATGCGACGGGTCAAGATGACTTACATATAGCCTTTGTGCTTTGTCTGTTGTTGTACGCCTTTCACTGTCGACCATGTGTAAACTTGACATTTTAAACTTCTTCTCAAGTTCCACCAGTTGGATTGAGCTCAGACTTGCATGAAATGATCCTGAGATGGTCCTGACCAAGTGTTGTCATTTTACGAGTATGTTTGAAATCCAAGATGGCTGTCATCTTGAAAAACATATCTTAAACTTCTTTGACAGTTCCACTGGTGCCATTGAGCTAAAAATTGGTGGGAATGTTAAGGAAAGGTAGTCAACAAAGTGTTGTTATTTTTTCAGATCTTGTCAAAACTTCGACATGACAGCCAGGGAGACCCTTTTGTAACATGATTGTGCAATCATGATTTTCTTGTGCAACACTTATTCAAAACTTCTTCTTAAGTTCCACCAGGTTGATTGAGATTCAACTTGTTTGCAATAATCCTGACCATCTGTTGTTATTTTTCAGGTCAGTCTGAAATCCAAGATGGCCACCATCTTGAAAAACACATTTTAAAATTCTTTGACAGTTCCACTAGTGCCATTGAGCTAAAAATTGGTGGAAATGTTAAGGAAAGGTAACCAACAAAATGTTGTTATTTTTTCGATCTTGTTAAAACTTTGACATGGCAGTCAGGATGGCGATTTAATAACATATTGAACTATCATGTTTTTCCTCTGCAACACCTATTTCAAACTTCTCAAGTTTCACCAGTTGGTTTGAGCTCCAACTTTACTCTGAAAAAATAGGTAACACTTGTTACAGTTACCTACTCCTCACGAAAACTACCATCTTCATCATGGAAAACAGCTTCTTAGCAAGATTTTGTTCAAAGTAGAAAATATAACGCTTTTCCATGCTAAATGTTTTTGTAGTTAGATAACAGTTAAGGCCATGGGCCTCTTGTTAAAATACAGCATTGTGAATTATACACATAAAAATTTTATATGTAATGCAGATCATAAATCATACAGCAAATGAATAAGAACAATGACAGTTGTTCCTGGTTGTTACCTGTCATTATAATCATTAAGTATTTTTCATCATAATATTTCAAAATTTGTTCCTTTGTGACACAGAAGTCCTCTCAGCTCATAGTATCAATACGGTTCCCATAGTGACTTTCATGGTAATCTGCAAATGTGTGAAATCATTCCATAATCTTTACCTGACATTACAATATGCTATATTACATGAGGTACTAAGGTATTACATGGGTGTATTCACTTAATAAGACTACAATCATGTGATAAATACAATGTTTGAATCTGTGAATCATTTTTAAGTTACTATCATTTTAATTGCTCAGCATTTTACATTTTCATTAAAAAGTTTTCCCATGTCATAAATAAAGAAGGGGAGGGGGGCAATCTTAAATAGTATTTATAGAAAATGTTTAAAAAATAAGGAGACAATTTCAGTTTTTAGGTTGTGGTGTAAAGGAGATACAGCAGTGGTAAAGGATGATAGATATGATTTCTAAAACTAAAACAAAGAATTGCTATGGATTGTCCAGGGATATCCATGACACTGTTGGAATGACTGTTGCGATGGAATCCATGTTTGGAAAAATTCTGCAAGTACAGCAAGCGGATTAAATTTTACAATTCTACTTAACCTGGAATACATGTAAAATAATAGGATTTAATGTCAGCTAGTTTCCCACTTCCCACACTATAAAAAGGCTTTGGAAAACCATAATTTTTTTACAACATGAA